CCCCTCCTCCCCCCCTCCTCCCTTTAATAGAATCTGCAGCCAACTCTCCCTCTAGTTGTCTGAGTCTCTGTGGTTGTAACGTTGCGCTGGAGCTGCTTGACTATCTTGAATTATAGCACACTCTACGATCCTTCACGGGCAAAATGGCTCAGTTCTGACATTATCCATTTTCAGCTGCATATTGCTGTTGCAGCCTCTCTCCCAAGGAGAAAAAAAAAGAAAGAAAGAAAATAAATAATAACAGGAGGAAAATCCACCAAAGGAAAGGAAGGGGCTGTGCGTGCGCGTGCTTGTGAGCCTCCACAACATTCCAAAATGCCACCAAATTCTCTTGTCCTCCACAACCTATATGAAAAGCCAAACTCTAAAACCAAAAGGCAGGTTAACATGCAAACGTGTTGGGGATGCTCAAAGTCCTCTGCCAGAACAACCAAACAAAACCAAAAAGATTTGGGGGGGGGGAAACCCCTGAAGACTCCAAGGCATCTGCCTCTAATAAGACCCTCAACTTCACCACAAGTAAGTTATTAAAAAGAGAGACAGAAAGAGAGGGGGGGCCCACAGAAACAGAAAGGATGAAGGGTGGGGTAGGGTGTCGTTGGTTGTTGTGGGGACCAAAATGGAAATCTATGCACCATCGTTTTTCCGGCCATGCATATTCTGTCGAAAATGAGCTGTCACACAGGAATAAGAAAACTCGCCACCAAAACACAACTCTTAAGGAAGCCAACCGAACGCCCCATCCACGTAAAACCTAGCCAGCATCAAAGTGGAGTTCACATGCCTTCCACCTTTACCTTGAGTGCACACATGAAAACAGAAATCCACTTGTATCGCAGCCATGTATCTTAGCCAAGAAACCGTCTATCTTACCTTTGAATGTCTTCCAGTCTTCCACCGTGACATCCCATTTTCGGTGTTCTTGTTGCAGCGCCGTAGTTGGTTAGGGTGTTTTTTAAAAAATAAGTGTATTCCTTTTTTTAAAAAAAAAAATAGATAGATATACAGAGAGTGATTGTTCCAGGGGAGGTAAGAGGAGCGTCCCTTTCCTTAAAAAAAGAGGGAAAAAAAGAAAAGAAAAGACCCATAGCTATAAGGAGTGTGCATCCCAAGAACGCAGCTCAGCTTCTGACTTGCTTCCCTCCTCCACAGTCACCTTTAAATGCATCTTTTACTGCTGCAGCACATTATATTTGCAGATCATAAAATCCACCTCCAGCGCTTACCAAGACTGTCCTGACATTACTGTTTTATGACCTTGACTTATTGTGGTCACCTGGATAATATTTAAATCAACGTTATGGTCTCTCACTTATATTAAACCCGCTAGGATACTCTCCTGAAAGCCTTAAAAGGATGAGTCCTAGGGAAGGAGAAAATACTCTAGATAGAGAAAGGGGGGGCGTGCTTTTTTTTGCAAGGGGGGGGCAGAATCACTTTGAAGAATACCCGGTTGAACACGGTTCTAAGAAATTTATTTCGCTCCATAAAGGAAGATACATGCAAAGGATACCACATACAGAATATGCTTAAATAACAGTCACCAAACCCCCACCCCAAACAATTCCCCCCATCCTCCCAGACTCCCTCCCACCTCCATTATAAGATATCAATACTGCTTTATTATTTTCTTTTCTTAAATATAATGGTCGATATACCACCTCACTGGAAGGAGACTGCATGACTACACAATGTGAGCATGTTCCCACTGCCACTGCCACTTACAGAAACATGTGAAATTCATTTGTCTTTGAAAAAAAATGTTATTATACGATAGGCAGACTACACAAGGATATGAAAAGCAAACTTTCAGATGCACCTAGTATCCTAAACATAAAAAGGCATAGAAATAGGTCCTTCAGTTTGTCCTCCCACCCTTCCTTTTTTTTCTTTGTGCTGCTCTTGAATAACTTAAACATTTTGGAAGCTGTTTTTAAAGCAACCACCTTAACTCTTTATTTTACATAGAAACATTGATGCAATATATATATATATATTTATATTCTCATGCGTATACCGACCGATGCACTTCTCTCTACAAACTGTAAATATCCAAATCATAGAAATGCACACTAGCCTGAGGTCTTGATTCCCCCCCCTTCTTTCCCTCCTCCCCGCCTCCCTCCCACACGCATTGCATTTATACCCAGGAAGGGGGGGGGCGTAATTAAAAAAAATACTGCACAAGATTTGAAATGCTTTTCCCCCTCCCATCCCTTGCTCTTGGTGAACACTTTCAAGTGAAATTAAAATTGGAAGTCAGTTCGCGAATTCGATTCTCTCTGTTCATTTTCTTGAGTTTCATCCTGCGGTTCTGAAACCAGATTTTGACTTGTCTGTCTGTTAGATTAATACTCTTGCTAATCTCCAGGCGGCGCTCACGGGTCAAGTACATATTGAATAAGAATTCCTTCTCCAGTTCCAACGTCTGGTGCTTAGTGTAAGGACATCTTTTCTTTCTTCCGCTCTTTGCTGTCAGCCAATTTCCTGTAGTGTTTTCTGCCTTTATATCCTCTGTTAAAAATAATATTATTATATAAGTATCTGTGGAATAGCAAAGAGAGCTTTCTAGGCTTAAGACTTTCTTTTCTTTTCTTTTCTTTTTAAAGCAGATTCTTTTGTTAAAACCAGCATCTCCATCCCTTTCTGAAATAAACTGATTATGTCTCTAGCTCCCTCTTGTTTATAGATTATTATATTCCAGAATGCTAATTAAAACATTCCTTCAAACCAACAGCGCACAACGTCTCTCAAAGAGAGGAGGTGCGGGAAGCCTTGAATTCACAGCATTCACCTGGGCGTCAAATCCAAAACACCCTTCCTGAACTCCGAGGGCTTTACAAACCACGCACATTTCACGTAAGGGACACCCTTAGAGAAGTCCAAATGGCACTGAAACCGTTTGCACTGTCCTTCGGGGGTAGGCGGTTTTTCATGCGTCAGAGAAGCCAACAGGATATCATTTGGTGAAATGGTTCGCCCACGTTAGCTCATCTCATGCAGGCTTAAATATATATATACATCCCAAATATATATATATATATCCCAAAGCTTTAATCACTGCCCAAGCTAGGTGCAGCTTTTACCCTAGGGTGCCATAGTGGCTCAGGCTTTTCTCTCCCCGCTACATCAGCCAGCACTATATATTCATAATAACTAGACAAAATAAATCCAGGCTCTGGATATGGCATTTTCCTAGAAAAACATTTTGCAAAACTCAACGCGGCTTTTTGTCCAGGGGACCAGTCTTCACTTTTATTTGGACTTTAAACCTCTAGGAAGTGTACTGGTTTACTGAAGGGGAGGAAAAACTTTCGATTTGATTTTTTCCCCCCTAACAACAACAACAACAACAACGAAGAAGAAGAGGAAGAAAAAGCAACCCCACATATAAGCGCTGGTACCAAAACAGAACAAAACAAAACAGAAAGACGGAATAAAAAGCATTCCTCCAAGAGCCACGCTCCATACACACAAGAAGCTCACACAATTCTGTGTATATAGTCTTCGTGCTGCACTTCAGACGCCCATACAGAGATACAAACTCCACGGATTTGAATTTGGCCATGCGAAGATTTTGGCAGCAGGAGCTGGCTCATATTGGTCTGAGGTGCAAGTGTGTGAATTGAATGGCTGGATGGTGTTTTGCTACTATAAAAGTCTGCGGGTCTGTTTGGGTCAATTCCGCGCCGTCTCTTACGAGGATATCCGCTCCAAAATTGTAGAAGACAAATACTGTTCCCCGCACCAAAGCACACACCCGCAGGCGCACAAACACAAACACACACAAGTACCACAAGTAAACGAACAAAACCCTGTTGGCTTGCCCTGAAACGCCTTTCAGGATCCCCAGGTCTGCCATTGAACCTTGCAGATCCGAAAACCTTCAACTCCATTCTTGTCTCTTCGCTTGGACATAACTGGTGGAAGAGAAATGGACGTTACCAGACCATAGGGGACCAAAGAGAGGGCAGGGAGACTGCCCTGCCAAACCAAACCAAACCCATTCTTCCAATGGTACATAACATAACATACTGGAATCCTGATAACAGCCGTGCCTTCCCTCTCCCCCCACACGTTGTGGGAAGGGGAAAAAATTAAAGAAAAGTTTGAAAATCCAGGTGGGACATTTCGTAGGTATTCATTTATTCGAACACAGCCTTAACATGAAAGGAAAGGGGATTCCACTTTATTTATTCCCCTCCTCTTCCTTCCATTCCAGATCCTAAGGCCAATCATGTGGTGATTGTCGTCCCCCTCCCCAATTTGACTTCCACGAAATTAATACTTGAAATAGCTTCAAAAGTGCCTTTTGAAGATGCACTTATAGAGATTTTTTTCTCTCCCTATCATAACCTTGACATTGTTTTCCCCCCTTTTTTCCCCTTCACTCTGGCCATGAAACCGGCCGGAAAAACCCTGTATTCGTGGGTGCGCTGAAAAAAAGGGAATGGAGAAAAAGAAAACTGGTTTCGGCCATTTTAATACCATAATGTGTATACATATTTCTTTGTATATCTATAAATGAACGAAATGGAAGATCAGGTGAGAAACAGCGGGCGGGGGGGGGCAGGAGAGACATGTCTGCTTTCTTTTGTGAAAGCCAGGCGGAGAAGCAGGCAGGCAATACGGGTATGCATATGTATTGAGGAGGCCATACGTACATATGTACCACAGGTACGCATGTATGTGTCCCACGCACGTGCTTATACAGGGCTACATCTAACCACCCCAAATGTACTCCTCTCTTGTTGTTTCCTAAGCATTTTTTGCCCAACGTTTAGGCTCGGAGAACCTTTCCACTTGCAATTACTGGGACCAAACTAATAAAAAGCTTCTGCTGTCATCCGCCTCCGCTTCCAGTAGTATCTGCTTCCAGCTTCTCCAGACATTTCATCTCTTTTCGAAGCAGAATGCATCCAGTGCGCGCAATCCTTTCCCTTCCTCTGACCTTAGAGAAATCCTAAGAGCGCTTTTTCGCCCCAAGAGGACCTAATTAACCGTCTACCACTTATCCTGTAGGAATATTTTTAAAACGCACACAGCCTCCATCATGGAACCTTCTCCACCGACATACCCGAGCTGCTTTTTTTTTCTCCCCCTGGAATACCTAAACTTCAAACAGACGTGCCACGCATGGAAGGGGCGCGGGGGGGGGGAAGGGAGGGAATGATTTTCGAGACAAACAGATTCTTGAACCCGGGCACCGCGGTTATCGAACAGGAATGCAGGCAATGGTAATGAAACTCAACAATCAAGTCCAGCCTGAAGGATGTGGCAAACCTTTGCCATCAACCACACCTCTGGTTCCCCTTTTCCAAACACCCCACCCCTAATAAGCTATCCCGATTCCACTAGTGGAAGGAAGGAAGGAAGGAAGGAAGGAAGGAAGGAAGGAAGGGAAGCAGGGAGAAGATAACAATTTGACTGCCAGTGGGAAAAAGGAGAATAACGAAGACAGCAGATCCAGTGGCAACAAAACAGAAAACACCTTTCTAAACTGAAATGATAGTCTTTTACAAATTCCTGCATTCCAAAAAAAAAGCACTGGTCATATTAGGCAATTCCGAGAACCCTCCCGAAACAAACTCAACAAATATAAACGGACAACATCGCATGCAACTTCGCCCTAGGCGCAGGCTTTTAAACACAAACTGCCACATAAGAAAATAACACAACATTGACTTCGAATTTTAGCAGCGGCACTTGAACACGTTCAATATTTAATTTTTAAAACAGTTGATGTCTATTGTATTTGTACTTAATAATATTATTATTCTTACTATTATTATTGCTGCTATTACTACTACTTCTGCACTACTACTGTTGTTGTTCTTTCGAAAAAAAGGCAAAAAGCCTTTTCCGCTTGGAATTTGCTGTGTTAAAAGCTGCAGATAAAGTTAATGTTTTCTGCAACACAATAGACATTGCTTTCTGCCTAATAACAATGCCAATAATACTATAGTAATAGCAACAATAACAACAACAACGGAAGTAACCATTTATGGCTCTTATTTTTGAAGCCAGTTTCTGGGAGGAAAGAAGGGTCTTCTTACCTTTTGCTTCGGTGTCAGAATTGTCAGTGCTGGTATCTGTACATTTATGCATATCTTTCTCAGTTTCCGACGGATTTATTTTGGCAACAGGGAGACTTTTTTCTGTTTTAATTTCGTTGGCAGGGGTATTCTGAGGATTATCTGGTTTTGTGTTTTCAGGGAAGCTCACTTTAGCTCCTGGTTGTGGTAATGGTGGTGGTGCCTGCTGTGGCTGCTGTTGCTGTGGCTGCTGAGATGGTGGTGGCGGAGGTGGCGGAGGTGGTGGCGGCGGCGGCGGCGGCGGCTGCTCCAGGTGCTCACTCCTTTGGCTGAGACTCGACCTGGGTTCGAAACTTGCCTCAAACTCGCTCGGGTTGTTGCAGTTGGATGTTTTCTCCATGGAGGAATAACCTTGGCTGGCCCGGTAGTAACTAGGCACAGGGACTTCATGGTCATTGAGACAAGACTCAGGCATCTGATTGGGGTAGAGGGTGGCCTCAGTGGCGTTTTTAGCTCTTTTGTCAGCATTGTACATACAGCAAGCATTTTCTTCCTTGACATTGGTTGGGAAAGAGCAGGAGGGGAGTTGTCTCGCAACAGGTTGCTCGATTCGGTAAGTATTTTTGGGGTCACACCAGGTGTCTAGCTGAGAAAGGTAAGATGGATAGGTGTTGAGAGACAGGCTGGCGTTATTCACCTCGTCTCTTTTGGAAAGAGACGGAATTATCCCACAGTTCCTCATCATTCCACAGTTGAAGTCGTTCCCAGACTGCATATACATCCCTTGGTTAGAGGAATAATTCTCCCCTCTGCAGGTACCGGCTAACGAGTCCATCAAAAACGAGTTAGAAGTCACATTGTTGGGACATGACATTTTCAGAGAGGGATTTTAAAGAGGAATACTACAGCCAGGGGCTGACATCTTTTTTTTAGGGAAAAATATCAGCACCATAATTATCCACGCATTGGTCCCAACCACGTGACTGCCAGGCCAATGAGGATTGAAAATGGCCTTGATGATTCAGACGCCGGTGACGTCACCGGGGTCAAGTTGTTGAGAGAGGAGAAAACCAGCGTGGAGCAACAGCGACATCTATCAGCTTCTGAAGGGTAGAGAACCTAGGACCTTCACGTTGAACAAAGGAGAGAGGGAGAGAGAGAGAGAGACCCCCTTTTCCTCGAGTTTGTTTACCAATGAACGAACGCGTGTCTACACCAGAGTGGGGGGAAAATAAAGGAAGCCAACGAGTAAATAGAAGCAAAGTCAAATTCAAATTAAAAGGTCAGCAAATAATCCAGCTTAATTTCCCTTCTTTTCTTTCATCCCTTATTTCTCTTTTCCTCTCCCACTCCCCATTAAAATAAGTTGAATTTTTTAGGCAAAATAGTTAATCAGCTCCAAATCCTGAATGAACTTCCCTTCTCATGCTTCTCTTAGCGATAATTCTAACCTCTCTCTCTCTCTTTTTTTAATTCATTTCCGTCTTCCCCGCTGTCAGTTAAACTTGAAATGCACGGAAGATGTTCCTTCAACAATATAATTGGTCCTTCGAATTACTTTTCTGGATTAAACATCATGGGAAATTGAGTAGCATTCCCTAAAGTCTAAGACGAGAGAAGGATCTTTCAAATTCCTACTGATTTAAAAAAGTTGTCTGAACTCAAGATAAATCTAAAACTGTCCTTCGGGCACTTTATTAAGTTCAGGTGTTTCCTGCACGAAAACCAGCTTAATAGCTGAAATTCAGGCTATAAAGTGCTTTCGAATAAATTTTAAATAAACCACATTTATTCAAAAAGTGCTTTCTTGCCTTGTGTTTTTAAAGTTTCCTGTCTGTTGGTCTCTCTTTCAAGTATTTAAAATAAAAATCTTCACGCCTGATCTCAATTGAAACGGATTTTATTTCTTTATTTTGTAGGAAAGATCAGCAGTTCTATTTTTATTCATTCAGGGCTCTAGAATTTTGCACAGGTTTGACAAAACGCTTTACAGAATTCCATCAAAATAAATATCAATGGGAAGACAGCACGGAATAGTTCTGTGGGGTGGTGGAAATCTGGATATTTCTTTACCTCTTTAGGAAATTACTTCAATGAAATAAGATGAAATTTCAAACTGAAGGGTGCTCTAGGAAAGCTTTATTCACCAGAAAGACTGTGTGATCAAACACGGCTTTGTTTTACATTATTTTTACTGATTCCAAACTCAACCAAATATACATATGTACTACATTAACTATCCTTTTAGTTGATTTCACTGCCCTTGTTTGTTCTTTATGATCTCTAACTCTCTCTGCTTCTTTGTCTCTCTCTTTGAACTTAACGATCTCACAATAATAACTGGCATTTCAGATATGGAGATAAGTTGAATTGCATGTTTACCTTGTGGCTGATTTCTTTATTAGACTTGTTCTAAGTCGGGTTGCAGTTAAGTAATATCGTTCTGTTGTGTATACTAAATCAGGCTAACCTATTAAAATCCAGACTTAGCAATGCTTTTTCTAAGGTTTTGTTTATTTGTTTGTTTTAAAGGAATTGGATACTCTGTGAATAAACCGTGGTAGAGCAGTGAATGCTAAGAACTATTCCTATTGCTGCTACTAATAATAATGGCAGCTAGAACAAAATCAACTAAAGGGAAGGAATCTCAAGATCATTACGAAGGATTACAAACCTTTAAAGGGTTCATAGTCATTTTCAAGGGGTGGACAAGGCGCTTTTTCTTCTAAAGAAAAAAAGAACCAAAATAAGCAAAGAGAGAAAAAATAATGGAGAAAATTGTGCCAGAAAGGGGATGGAGATGGGATAACAGCAGAGAAACATGGAACATAATTAGTTTTGGTTTTATCTGTTTAGAATCCTAAAATGTACTGTCCGCTGCTCACAGCCGCGAGACCTTTATAAACATGTTTTCTACCACATAGCTTTACAAATCAATTCGTCTGTTGCTTTTGAAAAAACTTCCAGGCTGGGGGCCCTCAACCTTCAACCCACCCACCCCCAGTCTTCAAGGGTGAGAAGTTTTAATATCCTAGGCCAAGGAAGTCTTAAACTGCATCTTTCTATTTGTCTCAGAGCACCATCCACCCCACCCCCCACCCCGAAACCCAGCACATACTAAGAGCTTTCCTGCACTTTAAACGCCGTTTGCTTCCTCTGGAAAGCTATTTGCGACTTTATAGCCTCTATTTGTGTTATCTGCATAGGTCTTTTTAAAACAGTTTGATAGAAATCGTTCAGTTTTATGATATCCAACGAAAATTCCGCATAATATTTATAAGCAAAGAATAAAACTTTAGCATGGGAACGAATACTTCCTCATTTATAGGTGATGAAATTAAAGACCAATGCAGTTTGGCATTATATGGCTTTCCCTCGTTCTCTCTCCCCCACCCTCACCCTTTCCTCTTTTTTGTTTTTTTTTATTTTTGCAGATCATGTGGCTGACCCAATATTGTTAGGCTCTGAAGCCTTATGCATTTTCACAGGTGGATTTTGGGGGACATCAATACCAGACCCCCCCCTTTCTTGGACCGTTTTGGGTGACCGTGAAGATACACTTCCAAGGCTTTTATTTCCTTATTTGCTATTGTGGATCCTCGGCATGTTATATTTCCCCGCTCCTGCCTCATTGTAAGGAACCGGAAGAGGACTGTACAAACCGCACTGTGGCGAAATCTGTCAAATAATTTGTTGGTGTGCTTTTTTAAAATCTTCCACTCAGATCTACAGACTGTGAAAGAATTGTCAGCAGATATGAAGTTGTGCCCATATTCCTGAAGACAAGACAGAGGGTGTTTCAAAATGTGTGAAGCAGCTGAACAGAAAATAAAAGTATATGTGCATATGTCTATGACTAGCCCTTACTATCACTTGATATACAAACATAAGAAGAATGTGTACCTGCGAAGCCATTTATTTATTATGCAAACATATGGCGGAATTTCCAGCATCTCCAGCGGCTGACGGTCAAAGTCCTTTCACAAAAAGGATTGTCTTGGTAGATGGACTGTTTGGGGGTGGTGATGGTGGTGGTTGAGGAGAGAATCAGCTTCCTAGCCAAGCAATATACATACATTTCTTAACCTCACTCAGGGTCTCTGGATATCTAGCAGAAAGCAACTCGAGACAGCGTTTCCAGGAGACCGAATATTGCTTAAAGTTAAAAATAATTAGAAGTATGATAAACATGGGCCATTAATAGGAAGAGAAATAAAATTCATCAGCCTAAGTAGAAACCCCGTTGGGAAAATGCTTTACTCTAATTGCAGAAAATAAATACCAACAAATGCTATTAAAACTTAAAAGGAGAAAGCCTGCTTGTGGAATAAAGACCAGAAGAGCCTTGCCCTAGGTTCTTTTTATGTATTAAAAAAACGTTATTGTGCAAATGCAACATATTATATTTCATATAAACATGTAATGGACTTTATTAAAAATAAAGAAGGAATGGGAGTGTGCAGGGGAAATTACACCTACGTTGTGTTTATGGTGGCTCACATGTGCACTGGATCTGATGGGTTTGTTATTCTCTTGTTTGGAGGCTATTTGGAATTATTTTACTGAAGTAAAAGCCAGGAAGTGAGGGTTGTGTGTTTTTTTTTTAAGTGGGGTTTTCTGTCTTTCTTTCTTCCAGTGTCTGGGCATAAGGAGCAACTGCAGACGGTCGGCTATTGTCTTTGGTGTCTGATTGCCCTTCCCTGTGAATGCCAAAGGCAGACAGTTCAGTTGACCCCAAAAAGGGAGCCTTGATACCAGTTTCCCTTCTCTTCCCTTGGAGGGGTTCTGCAGTAGAGAGGGAGAACAGGGGCAAACTGTGAAGCAGGGGTGGTGGAGTCGGCTAAAAAGCTCACACCCAGGCACACACTCATGTACACAAGTGCGCACACATACAGAACAACTCATTTGCCTTAAAAGAAGGAAGGAAGGAAGGAAGGAAGGAAGGAAGGAAGGAAGGAAGGAAGGAAGGAAGGAAGGAAGGAAGGAAGGAAGGAAGGAAGGAAGGAAGGAAGGAAGGAAATGAAAGATCCACGTGTCTAATAACTCACACAAAAGTACATCTCAAACTTGCACATAATATTTTACCTGCTCTTTTTTACTTCTAATTATTTAACCCTGAGTTATGTGTGCAAAGTACTTCTTACATCTATTGCAGTTTTTTTTAAAAAAAAACACACAACTTTTTCTTAACATTTTTATTGCAAGCATTCATTTTCAGTTCTAAAAAGTCTTTGGTAGCAACACTTTAATGATTACCTTAAATTTGTATTTCTGCCTGGTATTATGCCCCACGTTGTAGAGGAAATAATTCTGATTTATGGCAAAGTACACCAGAGTACGATAACAGTGGTGCAAAAATAAAACCCACGCCTTTAGATGTTGGCTTAGAAACTGTAAACTATCACCACAAGAAATCTATCAAACTTTACAATCCCTCTTATACTGCTTCCTTCTTTTGGGGTAACTTAAGTCAAAGAATTATGGAATGATATTATGTTCCTTGAGGTGGTACTGAAAACGGTGTTCGGGTTGTTCCTACCCCCAACGTAGAGTTTTTAGTCACCAGGATGTGGGTGTGAGTTTGGCTCTCTTTACTTGGATTTGATCTTGGAGGCCAAAGTTGGTGAGGGTGACTTTCGTGGCTTTCACTCCAGTGACCATATTACATCTCTCTCTCCCCCAACCCCCCCCTTTCCCCTCTGAATGCAATTGAGAATATCTCTATGAGTCTATACCTGATGTATACCAGAAACAAATGCAGTGGAAAATAACATTTAAATAATCTACTAAATTAAACCAGGACAGATAGAATCTGGTTTTACGGACCACACAATCTAGAAACCATAGTTAAGTAATGCGTATTAGCAAAAATATATGCGGTGTATCTTAAATTCTGTCTAA